AATTATATTATTAATATTAATATTTTATTTTTTATTAAAAAATTAATACTTTTTTTTTATATTTGCAGGCAAATTTGCCTGCTCTACAATTTAAGAGGTAATAAGCAGTAGTATCAATACTGTAATATTATATTTTATCCTTTAAATATTTTTGGTTAACCAGTTTTCTTTATTTTTCTGCTAATTTAGTATTTTTATTATAATAATTTCTTTCTAGTTTTGCCTTAGATAAATATTCTTTAAATCTCTTAAGTAATTCTTTGGCTTTTTCTTTTTGACAAGTATTATAATATAAACTATCTTTAAAATATTAATAATTAATACACAAATCAGTCCTTAGACTTATAATTTAAATCTCTGATATCAATTGATGTCATAATTTTCTGAAAGTATCATATTTTAAGGATTTCAATTTGCTGTTTTCTTCTAGACCAGCTAAAAACTCTCTATATACTAATTTATAACTCATTTCAACTAGTAAGAATATAATTGATTAGATATTTTATTAATACTTCTTTCTGAATTTGATAATCCATAAACTTCAGCATAATTATTCAAAAAATTCTTTACTACTTCTATAATATTTTTATCAATTACCATTTTAGTATTTTAATTAAGATATTCTTTTAATATTACCATAAATTTTTGGTAGAAGACTATTATTTATCAGGTGATTTCTAATATGTTTAAAATATATTCTACCAATTCCTAGTATATTGAGATAAGTTTCTTGACAAAAAAGTATATTGTAATCCCAATGATAGAAAGTTTTTTTGTTAGATTTGATTTTCTATTTAAGATGTCTACTAGTGCTTATTAATCAACTATTCATAATTATAAGTTAGATCATTAAAATATATCTTGTTTTAATTTAGTGAGAGCTTGAAAGGATTCTCTTAATTCTGCAAATCCTTTTTTAGGGATTTTTGAAAAACATCATATTTATAACCTTTTTCTAAAAAATTAATTGCTTATTGATTTTTATTAGAACTATTATATTTATTATTATTTTTTATATACACCTATTCATATATATAATTTTATAATTTTATATTTACTTTTTATGTTTTTAAACTTAAATATCAAAAATAATTTTAAATATATATCTAATAATTAATTTAAAATATGAATGATTAAATAATCTAAAAAAATCTAAGAAATTTATTTAGTATTTATATTTATTTAGGATTATTCAGATATTATGAATATCATAGTAGATTTTTTCAAAAAGAAAAGATATGCATTAACATTTTTTTTCTTTTTTTTTTCAAAGTATATTTTTTAGAGTTTCTATAAAAAGCATTCATATTTGATTAAAATGATTATATACATATAATTAAAAGACCTTTTTGTTAAAGAAAACTGGTATATAGATTTATTTACTATACTATATATGTGTGTAAAATGTTTATTTCATATTTAAAAAAGTATTTATATATTATTTATCAACTAGCAGGTATCTATACTGTTAAGCATAAGAGTAACACTATTTTTGCAGAGATATCAAGCTATCAGCAAGTGAATCATGCAGATTTATGTTATATATATGTAAAAATGAAATTTAAATTAGCAAGCAAATCAATAAAATCGATATTGATAAATGGATTTTCAAATTTTCAAACCTAATTAATCCATTATAAAATTTCATTTTTGTATATAGTGTGTAATTATTTGCTTTACAAATGAGTACACATATTTATGATGTCTTAAAATAACTAACAAAAATGCATTTTTATTTGATAATTGTATATTAGTATTGTATAATAGATAGATATAATAATAATAGATATTAAAAAATAAACATTGTATTACTTATTCTTAAAAACCAATTATAAATTATACTATTTTTTTTAGTAGTAACTAAGTATTTTTACATTTTTAAAAAAAATAGGTTGGCTTTTTTTTTAATATTTATATGTATATATACAGTGGTTACCAAAAGAAACGCAAGTGTGATTAGATACCTTTGAACGGCTATAACTCATCAACAGCATGGCAGACATTTATATGATTGGTTAATTTTATGTCGATCATTTTCTAAATTGGTCAATATTTATATCGATCATTTCCTAATTATCACTAAAATAATTGATTTTGATTGACTCAATTTTATTATTAAATTTAATAATAATATTAATATCATTTTATTTTTATTATTAATTAATTTTTCATAAATGTTTTAAGTGCTATTTTAAATTGATTTGCAATTTGAGAGTTAAATAATAATTGTTTTGATAATTCTTCAGGTTTATCATCTTCTAATTGAACTTCATTTTCTTGATCAATTTCAACTTTAAAATTTTCTTCAGTAATTCTACAAATAATAGATTTTACATTATTATTGATTTCATTTTTAATATATTTTAAACAATGCAAACATTTATACTCAAGATATTGTAAACAATCTTGATAATAAATATGAACACATGAAAGAGAAATTGAAATATGAGTAGACATTGATTGTAATATCCGACAAGAATTTTGAAGATGACATCTTTCTAATGGATTAATTGGTAAATATTCTGAACTGAAAGCTATTGGTAAATACCATTCATCTACATCCATATCAAGAGTTGCAAGGTGACATGAAAGCTTATTTTTACCACGTTGATTACTTGTCCATTTGCTTTTTCCAACATTATTTTTAACCTTTGTAAATAATTCTAAAAGAAAGATAGATGTTTTGTTAGTTAATCCTATTAAATCCTCTTTACTATAAGGAGATTTTCTTGTTGTAACAAATGTATTTTGAAATACATTATCATGACGAAGATAATTGATAACATGAGCTGTTCTTGAAAGTTGTTCATGTGTATCTGTTTCTTTTGTTTGTCATCAAATTAATGAATGATAATTTTCCACAGGATAGTCATTAAATGCTACAAGATGATTTTTCAGAACCTCAAGAATAGGATGATTAATGCTTTCCCAATACCAAACATCTGAAAAAAAGAATAATGGTGCTTTGTTATAATTTCTTTGTTTAAATCGAGCAAACAAATACCATACTCTTACACAAGCCTCAATATATGCCTCCTAATTGCATGATCTAAAAATCGTTGCATAAATATTTAAAACCAAAGGAATAGTATCATCTAGAAGGGTTTTTAGTAAAAGGTACTCAACATCTCTAGAGCAAGATAATTCAATCTTTTTTTTAACATATGGTGCAATATTTTTCCAAGCATCTGACATTAACTGTAATAGGAGATTAATTCTACAAGGACGAGGTTTGTTAGCAAGCTTTTTGTTTGTTCCAAAAATATATTTGTATGCAGAATTAAAAAAATCATAAAATAATAAAACAACAGTCTCACGACTATTGAGAGATACATGCAAAGGTCCCATAATTGGAATAAAAGAACTAACACATTCCAGAATTCCTGTTTGACAATTCTTCATTTGTTGTTGTTGCATAGTAATTGCTTTTCGAGGGTGTATTTGTCCTGGCAAATCAGCAACCAATGGAATAACATTATGTTGAAGATACTCCCGAAATTCTGGAAAGGATGCAAATGTCTCCATGGCCTTAATATATGCCTCCGTCGAATGCAGATCAAATCAAGTTGTTTATAAAGTGCCGTTGTAAGCTTCCCCTTGTTCATTGGGTATTTATAAACACGCCAATTCCTCATGATACTCAAGAGCGTCCCAAGCTTCGCAGGGTGTTGTTATGAAGTAGGAAAAACCTGGTTTCTCTTCAAATTGTCTCGACATTATTTGAGGAAATTTTTTTTTAATTTTTTGTCATACCCATAAAAAAAATAGTTATCCATTCGATCATTATTTGTTCTGTACAACGTTAATCCGAGGTAATTTTTAAGTCGCATTTGTACTATGATGAAACTTCGGGTTCTCAAATGCGTGTTAATAGCTTTTTCCCGATGATAAAAGCTATTAAAATAACGGCGAGAATTGTAAAAACTCATCTTTTTTTAGAATAATAATCCAAAAGAGGAGTTAAACAGCAAAGAAAGAGTGTTCTTTGTAAAGCATTTTAAAAAAACATACTAAAGTAGTCCAAGTGACTCTTTTTCCTTCCTTATTTTAAACAACTACCCCAAATCTAATTTTTATTTATACTATTTTATTTTTTTTTTAAAAAAAGAGGCAAATTAAATATCAAAGTTATATACAAAATATGGCCGAATATAATATAACATTCCTCATCCTCATCCAACTTCTTACCTCTAAACCTCTTGCTTCACTAACAATTCTCTCACTTGTAATAATATCGCTAGCTTCTTATTATGCAGCCGACCCTTGGAAGAAACCAGAAGCTCGAGAAAAAGAACAAGAGTCGGGAAATGTAATACATATAACGGCAAACCATGCGATTGGTTTTGGTGGAATAGCTAGTTTAGGTCTTATAAGTATGTGGACATTCCCTAATGCACTTGGTAAGATTTAAAATTACACGGTCTTCATGTTGGCATATTTGTTATATTCCTAACTAATTAATTTATATTTATTTAGTCTATTTCAGTCTTGTATCATTTGGACTTGGTGGTTTTTTTGGATTACAGGGTGTTCTTGTAGCAATATCTAGAAGACTCTCCTTGCCATTTTCAGGTGGCTTATTGGAGACCCTGCTGGCAGGTGGAATAGTGATTTGGTGGGTGCTTATAAGAAATAGCAGGTATGAAGAAGTTTCTTGAAGAGCAATTCCTTTATGCTTTTACGTTGGACTCGTTATTAACGTACTTAAATTCTTCTAGCGAAGCATGGTTATTACAGAATTTTTTAGGAGGTATGTCGATTTTACGATTATATTCAATGCTTATGAAATTCACAATATTGATTTCTTTATCGATTGAATAGGTTTCATAATAGCTTTAATGTTAAAAGTTCTTAAATTACCGGACTTACAGGTAGATTGGATATATATTTTAATAATGAGTAATATTCTTTTATTGACAATTTTTTTTTTTTATTAAAAAAAAAAAAAACTTTTTTTAGATATCATCTATCCTACTTATTACTGCCTTTTTATATGATATATTTTGGGTTTTCATTTCACCAAATTTCACATCAAATGGCAAGTCAGTCATGGAATCCGCAGCTACAGGTTCTGGACTAACAGTGCATGAACAAGTGCCAATGGTATTTAGAATTCCGATTAGCGATGATCCTGCGCATGGATATGCTATGTTAGGATTTGGAGATATTATTTTACCTGGAATGTTTTTGACTTTATTGAGAGAGGTTGATGTTAGGTTAAAAGCATATTGGTTTTCTTTAGTACCACAAAGTCCGATGCCTCCTACTCCAATGGTTATAGTTGATGATGTTGAAGGAGAAACAACCGAAATAATTTTTGATGGAGAAGATGAAGAAAATATCTATTATTACGAAAATAATAGCGTGTTTGCATTTAATCAATCAACAAGTTGGGGAAAAAATAATATATGGCATAGATCAGTATCATCATTACCATCATTATGGACATATCATTTTATAGGATTAATCGGATATTTTATTGGATTAGAAATGACTTTTATTGCAATGATATTAACACAAATGGGGCAACCTGCTTTATTATATCTTGTTCCTTCTATATTATTACCAGTACTTTTATTATCTATCAAAAGGAAAGAATTTCTTCTTATATGGTATGGTAAATTTCGGGAAAATGATGATGATGAGATTACAGATTATTCAAGGATACCTCAACAAGATGAATTTAAAGACGTTATGAGACAAGTGTGACCTTTAATGAAAAATAATACGGTTTTTTATCTTCTCATGCATCAAAAATTAAATATTCGGCTTTTTCTTATATTATTTACATTCAAAAATAATTTTTAATTAGTTTATTATATAAACACAAATCAACATTTTTTTTTTTTTTTTTTTTTTTTTTTTTTTTTAAAAAAAAAAATTTTTAATGTGTATATATATTATATATATATATATATATTTTTTTATGACTTTTTATGCCTATTTATTTATTTATTTATTTTTTTCTTAACAATTTTGTCATGTATACAATTTTTTTTTTTTTCATTTTTTTTTTTTTTTGGCAAAAAAAAAAAACTTTTGCAAAAATAAATATGATTAAAATTTCTATATGCACACGTGACAAATAGCATTTTTTAGTTAGTAAATAGTCAACTATCTCTACCCCAAGTTATATTCTAATGTTTTTCATGTCGATTTTACATAACTTTGTTATACTCTTTTTACCCTAGAACCAAAGATTTGTTTCTGAACTCAGATTTAAAGAACAAAATTTTGAATCGTCCAAATCCATTGAAATTATACCAAGGATGAAGGCTCTTTCAATAAGGATGATTTGAACTTACATATGTAAATTTTGATATTATATTCAATTCATCATAAGAATCTGTATTATTAATAAAGTATTAAGAAATCATTTTTTTATTAATTTATTTTTCTATAAAAAAATTAAAAAAAAATAAAAATCAACATTCAAAAAATATTCCCAGGTGTGGGACTTTATATATATATACAACGATCCAATTTTATTTTGTAGAATGCGTCCTGACGAATATAAGCAAGCACAAGCACGAAAATATCAAGCAAAATTACGTTCACGAGGCTCTTCAGAAACTTCTAAAGAGGTACAGGAAAAACGAAAAGAACGTAGTTCAAAATCACGAGGTGGTTTTCAACATAAAGGAAATGAAGAAGCTGCTGAGGAAGTTGAAGAATATGGGGAAGGTAAGATAGAAATTTATATTTTCCTTATAAAGACTAGTTGCATTGAATAACTTTCACTTCTTTAGATAAACCAAAGCGACAAAACTTTCAAAGACGAAAGGTCGAAAGTAATTCTTATCGATATAAAGATATTTCTGATACAGAAGGTAGAGATTATATTACATAGAAGCACTCTTTATAATAACGCGTAAATTTAATAACCTTGACTTTTTTAAAATTTAGAAGCGGAGGATGGAATCGATTTAGAAACTAGGGATTTTTTACAAATGATTGATGTTTCAGGCAAAATTAAAGATTTATTTATTTAAATTTTTTAATCCTTGACTGTGTTGTTTAACCTTAAACGATTAATAGAAACTCGGTCCTTGGATCCTTCAACGTACTTTCAATTCAAGGAGGAGAAGGACTGGGATACTTCAGTTGAGGTTGTGAATGAATCAGATGAGGTAAGTTTTACAAAATGAAATTCTTTTTCTCTAATTACATTTTAACGTAACCTTTTTTAAATAGATATATCAAAATCTGATGAATATTCGTTTCGATGCATTAGAATTATCATTGTCTAGCGTATCATTAGCCGAGAGATTGAATTTAAGCGATGATATTTTTATGGTAAGCATTTTTAATAACGATAAGTCATTTTCATTTCACAACCCTATCATGATTTTTTTTTAAAAAAAATCCCTTAGGAAGGACAAGAAAATGATTTTGGTTCAATTTTAGACATCGCAGTCCCTATTGTTCCGAAAACAGTAAAGTCAGATGTTCAAAAATCCATGTTAAAAAATGTTAAAAATACCGAAACACCACACACTGCTATATCGAATATGCGAGTTCCGGCTTCGAACAAAATAATAAAACAGACTCAATGTAAGACATGATAAATCATTTATTTTTAAAGTACAAATATTTAAAATAAACCACTATCAGAATTCAATAATATTCTTCCGGCCTGATTATTAATAGTAGATACCTTTTTTTTCTTTTTGATTAGTGTCTGCATCCAAAACTTATGCGAATCCTCAGAAACCAATTTCAACAATAAATAATGATGATGATATTGATGATTTTTTGAAATCTCTTGATGACAAAAATGGTAAATATTCGTTCTTCTATAAACTTTCAAAATTTAATGACTCCTTTTTTTTTTATATTCTAATCTATTTACTTTATATAGATAAACCAACCAAAATAAATAGTTCAAAATTCTCTTTACTAAATAATAATAGTAGCCCAAAGAAAAAAGTTATTACTAATGTAAAAAGCCAAAATAAAGAGACATCAGGAAAAGATGATGACATGGAAGATTGGTTAGATGATATTTTAAAATAGATCCATTAATTTAAATATTATAAAATGATTTTAAAGCACTGATGTATTCATCAGGATATCTAAGAAAATGTTGTACATGTTCACTATTAGCTCCAAATCTATTCTTTACGATTGTCAATTCGCCCTTTTTCTCACTATTGATGTGATTACTTTCTCTTTCCTTTAATCTTTCCATAAATTCAATTACATCTTTTTCAGGTACAATTTGATCACCAGGTCCATATAAAAATAAGTATTTTACATGTCTACCATCATGAGTACCACCGGGAATATTATATAATGATTTATGAGCAAAATCTTGATATCTTTTAACGACAGGTAAAGTAAAAAAGATTGATAATACAGAAATTAAAGAAGGAGGAGGTTGTATGATTGGAATTTCTTCCTTTTCTGAATTTGAATTTGAAGCTGATTTTTTCATCAAGGTTGTTTTCCTTAAAAACCCTCCCACAATACCTAACGCAAGATACTTTTCCGAAATAGGAGAAGGAGCTGAATCTATTACACAAGATTTTATTGAATTTAAAAAGGATTCCGCGTCTTCACTTGATAAATTTAATCCAGATGATGATTTTATTTGTCTTTGATCATAATCTGAATACTTTTTTGATAGATCTCTAACGGCTTCACATAACATAGCATAGTGATACGTACCATTATCGCTAAATACATGAAATCCTATATTATTTGGTTTTCCACGTTCAATCCATATCCCAATTAATTCTTTTGCTAAACGATGAATATCTCTAGAAATAGTCCAAGGAAAAAATACATGATAAAACGGTGGTATATGAGATAATGTATCCGTATGAAATTTATCCGTATATAAAGAGACATATTTAAGCAAATGTTTTGGTTTACAATTCCACCATCCAATTAATATCATTAATGATGGTTTATCATGAGAAGGTGTTTGTTGCGTATCATCAGTCGCTGGATATATTTGTGAAATATTATGGATATGTTGTGAAGTTGTATCCGAAGGGGGCGTGGTATTAGAAGAACTTTGTGAAGAGGGTTGATAAATTAAATGTTTTCTGACATTTTTAGCATTAAATGCTGTTGTAATTTGACGTTTGAAATAAAAATTTGTGTGAAATGAAGTTTTATGTTTATATCGAAATGTTTGTGAATTAAAATAACGTATCGATGAAGATTTCGTTAAAAAATTTTTTGTATTAAATAATTTGGTTGATATAGCAAAAAGAAATAAAATCTTTGGTTGTTGCATAATTAAAAAGAGAGAAATTCGATTTACGATTTTTTTTTTTTGATGATTAACTAAATTAAGATTTTATTAACTGAACGCGTTGTTGTACGAATGCGTCTTACAAAATTATAAAAAATCTTATTTGGACAAGAGCACATGATTATCTTTAATTATGTTTATTATAGAAAAGGTAAGTATTTAATACTTAAAAAGTTTTGGATGAATTCAGACACACTGACAAAAACTAATGGAGATGATTATACATCAAACTTCAATCCTTAGATGCAGAATATCAACAAACACTATATAATCATTCAAACTTGTTCTCACCTTACTCCAACATGTATAAAACATTAGTATAAGAGATTTTTTTTTTTTTGCATTGAGGAAATTGGTTGGCATGACTAATTTTTAATATTTTTTATTTTTCCTTTTTCATTTGTAATATTTGTAATGATAATGAAGTACATACAAATACCTCTTTCAACAGCAATAATCTGATAAAGAATAAATATAAGTTCCTGTTAGAATTCCTTCTAACTTTAGCCATTGATTTCTATTAGTTTTAGGTGAAGATTTCTTTATTAGATCTGAAATTAATCAAAATCTTCTATATGTGTAACAAAGTAAATTACTATCAAATTTTTTTTTTCAGTATTCGATATACCAGGGAGGTCATATGGTTAAGGAACAACACGCACAAGTCATGTAAATTCTTACTATGCTGACACAATGCTGGGAAGATCTTGACTAACTCAATTATCAGCCCTAATCCCATTGATATACTGGTCTAAGGATTGCCACCCAGGTGACCCCCTAGGAGCAAAATCTTTAGGATCATTGGACCTTAGAACTACTATCAAATTTGGATAGAGGGATCACTTTCAGCCACAGGTACTTTTAGTTGATTATTTTTCCTGTCTTTACCAACACCAATCAGAATCGCTATTACTTTTACCCAGTTACAGGGTATTCACACATGATCAGGAAGGCTTAGATGTTATCATCTTTATAGGATCTCAGAAAGATAGGTGGCTGTCGTACCCATATCGCCAAACACACCCAGGAATTGAACCTGGCCTCTACCCTAAGTGATAGCTCAATTGGATGGTTGCTGCGGCAGTACAATGTAATCTATTATCAACCATAATCATCTCGAGTGTATCTTGAGATGTCACCAATCTACTAATTACTAGTTAATCATTTTCTTATTTATGTAAGGGCCCTAAAATTGAAGATGTGAGACAGTACCCATTACAGACCTATTAGCGAAAACCAAGTTTTTATCGATCCTTAGCTTCATTTGCATCTACTTGTTCTGCAATTTTAGTATTAGGCATGATTAATACTGATTGACAGATCGATCGACCAGTTTCTAATGCATATTAGTATATACACCTACATATTCAGTTACATATAAAATTCTTATGAAAATCATTTAATTTTATGCCTCAGCTGAGACTTGAACCTGTAGTTATTGCAGTGTAACTCACAATAGAAGCTCAATTATTGCCAACTAAACTAGGGATGCCAATCCCAGTAAATTGCTATTAAATACACCAGGATGATGTGTATAACATATGAATTTCCTTTATAGGTAATCAATACATGACCTTTTTGTTTATGAATTAACTGCTTATATATTAGCTGTATCACCCATTTTGTGTAATAGTAATGTGATATTTTTGATTTTACTATTTTATGAAATTTTATTGGTTAATTTAAAAATTGTGATTTTCTAATGATGCTGATCAAAATTTACTTGAATACTGACTTTTGAAAAGTGCAATAAATGAAATCATTTCTGGCCCTTTTTCTAAATCATCAATTTTTAAATACCACCTTTCGCTCTTTTAATTATACTCATTAAATATTCTTAATATTTTCACGATGAAAGTTATAAGCAATATGAGTAATTCTACTTTTTCACTTTTAATATATCTTTATCTCAAATAGACATGAATGGTAGTCGAGGTAAGTTAACTTTTTTTTCTTTACTAATTAATGAATAAAAGAAAGCTTTTTTATAAATATTCTTTTTTTTAGATTTTCAGAAAACTCCAACTTAGAAAATATATGATCAGATCTCGACAAAGGACTGATTTATTAAATTTTCCTCTACATATTCTCCCTCAAAATCAGAATCAGGAATTAATGCCAAGAAAAGAGCATTAGAATCATAGTAATTATTCAAAAATAAATATATGAACGTATCTAAGTCAAATGAGGCCCAATACATCAGTTTGAACTCTCACAATAAAAATAATAGAAGGACAAACAAAGTATCCTTATTAAAATTACAGGATGTATTATATTACCTTTTGATCAACTAAAGAATGAACTTTATGATTTTACAGAAAAAGATATGTGACTTTTAAATAATGATTGTAGAGAAACTTTTGCTAAAACCTTTAGAACCACTAAAAATTTTTCTTTATATTTAGACCGTTCTAAATTTGTAATGTGATTTTTAAATGAAAATAAATGCTTGTTTATATGAAATCAAATGGAGTATAATATAATCTATATAGGATCTGATTTGAAAAAAAAAAATTATGAATTATCTTATCCATCTGAATAGGATGTGTTATATCATTGAGAACACTTTGAATGGAAACCTATTAATGAATATGAATATCAATTGGAGGAAAATTTAAAAATCACATAGAGGAGAGGCTAAATGAGAAGATTTTAGAAGCTAAGGCTAATTTTATAGTTTCAAAAGAAAAAAAAGCAAGAAAGAAGTTGAGTAAGAATAAATAATTCTATCATCACATTATCACTCAAAAAAAATGTTAGTAAAGCTTTATTATTTAGTATTAAGATTCTTTAAATACTTTTTAGATTTGTATATTTAGAATTAAAAATAAGTAACATTTGCATCACGAAAACTTTAAATAGGATATTACCATTTAATATAATTATATTAAATGATAGTATCTCACTTGTCTTAGATTATATTATCATCATATAATCTGGATACCACCATATGATCTAAATACCATCATATAATTTGAGTATCATTATATGATCTAAATAAAATAATCTAATTATCACTATATAATCTAAATAATATAATCTAATTATCATCATATAATCTATTTATTTTCACATATCAGGTATCTTTTTTATACTCTAGCTATCCTTTTAAATCTTTCTTGATATCTGTATTTTTTTTTACCACCATATAATCTAACTACCACCCACTATTTAACCTAACTACTACTATATAATCTAAATATCATGCTTTTCTTCTTATTTCTGAGTCATTTACATGCTAAATTCTATAATGGAGTTATTGGTTTTCTATAGCTGTTTAGATATCTAATTTTATGTTAAGGATGCTGGCCTCCTGTACCTGATTGGATGCTAGATTCTATATTGGAGTGCTTATCTTTTATACCTATTTAGTTACTTTTTTAGATGCTAAAATAGTGTAAAAAAAGGTGATGGGTAGCGCAATTAATTTGCGAATCAGATTTTAGCTAACACTATGTTATATTTTTGACCTGATCTTTAGGGTGAAATATCTTGGCTTTTTGTGATTAAATTCGTGTAGTTTTATAGTCAATTGAAAGAGAGAATTGAGAGCTTTCTAATGATACTAAAACTGCATGAATTAGATATCTAAATTCTGAGTTATTACGTCTCAAAGTTTTGGAAAAAAATATGAAATAGTGCTGGCTGAAATTAACGAAATTTACTGTGCTTTACTGTGTTAATCACATGTTTTGATTTTTTGCCAGTTTCAGGCACTTTTTTATCACTTTTAAGTAACTTTTGAGTAACTTTCGAAGGCTTAGTTTAGTGGTTAGTTGGTTAGAGAATCAGAGGTGTAATTTGTATTATATTGATCAACCTATATATTTTCTTTTCAATTGCTATTTCTTGATTATCAGATAAAGTATATGCAAAGTGCTGAATTAATTCAGGCTATATAGCTTTTATATCTTTTTCATATATTCTTCTAAATCTTTCTGCCTTTCTGATCTCTTTTCTGCTTATGCGGTAGTATCCAAAAGCATAATTTCTTATTTTATTTTTATATAATTCTACCTTTGGATACTACTAAATTTATACCCTAATTTTCGCTCAAGTCTTTCTAGAATTCTTTCTCGTATAGTTTCTACACTTAGATACTTTGAGGTACTACTACATCGATTATATTTAGGCATTATTATATTGATTACTTTTGAGTACTACCACATCGACTACTTTTGGGTACTACCACCAATTCAGTATTTTGCTAACAAGCATATTCGCTTAAAATTTTTATTTTGAAGATTTGGAAAATTTCTATGTAATTTTATACTTAGTATTTCTATACATTATATTATGCTACTTACACAAAAAAATTCTGGGCTTTACCTTAAAACAATAAATAATGCAACTAGGTTTTTCTTTAGTTAGCCAACCTCAATTATGAGCCTAGTTATAATAATCATATATACTTTCAATATTTGTCTAATAATAAAAATGATATCTCTCTTCTAAGAACCTATAATCCTAAAGAGATTTTTGATAAATATATTATTTGAGTATCTGAAAAAGATTTTACAGTAGTCAATTATTCATCTAAAGTTTGTAGAATCCCTGATGTTCACGAATGCATTGATAAAAATCTGCCTCTTTGCCTAGTTCTAGATATTGATGCGAAGCAAAAGTTAGATCCATTGAATCCTGAGCTCCCTTTTTTAGATAAATATAAAATTACTTGTAAAGATTTATTATCTAGAATCTTAATTGCCTGTGTTGATATTTTATATTCTGATTTAAACTATTTTGCAATATTAGATACTTTTACCTTAACTAGTTTATCTAATACTAATAAATGCAGTTAGCATATTATATATAAATATGCACAGTTCGTTGATTACAGAGATCTTAAAGGATTTGTAAAAAAAATTGCTAATAAAGTTGAAAAACCATACTCTAAATTTATTGACCTTGGGCTTTATAAATTATATTTTAGTTTTCAGCTTTTTAAATTGGCAAAGAAAGATAGAGTTAAAAGACCTGCA